GCTACACAGGGGTTGTTCTGCTCATTGTACTGAAATTACCTTTGAATGATTCTCTTAGTTGTTTAGCAACAACTTTTCCAATATTTGCATTTTTTGATGTATATTCTGGCATTCAGAAATTGGGTGTCTGGAAATAGACAAATTAGCTGCTTACTTTTAAAATAGGTCATACTTAATGTACATTGAAAATAAAACCATATGTTGTAATTTTTCGACGCTATTGGTTTTGTTCATGAATACATTTCTTAGTCAAACAGTTAACTTTGTTTAAAATTTTATTTTCATTTTCAGGCTCTGTAGGGTAACTGATTTTATAAATAAATTACTGGACATTTTCTGTTTAATTAAACTGTGCATTCTTAATAAATCAGGAGAGAGGAAAATGAAGACAGACTTACTTAAAAGACTGGTTGCTCCATTGGCTTCATATCAAAGTTTAGATTTTATTTCCTCTTAATTTTAACTTTAAGAAAGAAAACTGTATTTGAACTTGGAGACGTACAGATTCCTGAAGGAGAGGTTCTGCAGCAGTATGGAGCTATTCTGCCGGGTGAGCAGTGCCCGTCTGTCTCTGACAGGACTCCATTTGCAGTTTGTTCTGTCAAGCCTTACTTGTGTCTGGTAACAGTCGATGTGTTTAATTTATTTCATGTTTTAAACAATTTTAACTTGGTACGCCAATCAGAATTACACTGAGGTCTTTTTTATTGTTTCTGCAAGCCTTTTGGCTTTTTCTCCTAGATACAGCTTTTTCAGATGTAATGTTCTGAAGTAGTTTTTGTGTGGCTTCTTTATTTTTATTTTTTTTTTAACTTTTTTATCTTTAGTTTTTTAAAAAAAGCTTATTGGGTAGTAAAATATATTTTCTTGTTGTCGAACTACCTCTATAAAAATATGTACGTGTTCTTCATAGCTTCAGCGTTGGCAAAGCTTCCAGATAGCTGATTGGATATGTTTCAGATGTATTTCATTAACTGCCCTGGGTGTGGGAAATGCACATAGATCAAAATCATCTGTTTAATCTCTGTTTTACATTGTTGCATTCCTGTTATAGTAAAACATGAGTTTTGAAAGGCAGAGCAGTGTAAAGATCTTGTTCAAAAGCTCCCTTAATCAAAGATTTAAGTATGATTATAGATACATCAGCAGACTTCTGTTTTGAGCAAGTGCACATTGAGCTAACAGAACAAGTCATATAAACTAGTGCTAAGTAATAAAAAGTCATGTAAAGCTACGTAATTGAATACTGATCTTATAATGATTTACAGCTGAAAGAACAGAGCTTGGAAAAAAATAAATGAATTTCAGCTCCATAGGAGTGGCATTTTTTTCCTGCCCTGAGCTGCGTCAGTGCAGTGTTACCTGGAGGTGTGTAATGTGTTGGTTAGGCAGGGACCAGGGCCCCCACCCCACTGGGGAGACAGAGGTGGGACTGACAGGGCAGAGGAGCTGTCAGTAAGGAGATACTGGGATACAGGGGAGGCCATCTGGTCTTCCAGGAGCTTTACATAGCTGCTCCATGTGGTGTAAGGGCTACCAGAACAAGAGCACAAACCGAGCTTCCAGTGCAATAGAAGCTGGAGACAGGTGTGCAAAGAAGAATTTGGCAGCTAGGAGATAAACGAAGACAACAAGGGAGCACAAAGCCCAAGGACCTGAAACAAAAAGGGAGGGAGAAAGGAGAAGACATCATAAATATGAAAGATACTAACAGTGTCCAGGGAATAGTGAAAGGTGAGAAAACAAGATGGATCTGAGACGTTAGCTGCCAGGATAGCAGCAATACCTCTGTCATTATCTGGAACAAGCAGAAGTACAAACTGGGGCTCTGTTACTTGGGGCCCTCCTTCCAAAGCACTGAAACTACAGGATTGTTAGAGCTTGTGAGGAGCTAATTTAACAAGGTGAAATGAGGAACAGTCTTGCCAGGTGGGCTCTTTGGGGTCACCATGTCGAAACTGAGCCAACAGAAAGCAGCTTTCCGATCAGAATTCATCTCCTTGGTCTTGTTTTTTCCTCCCTTCTGAAATAATAGTCATTTTTATATGGATACATTTGGTGGAGATTTCCAGTGGACTGCTTAGACTGGTGCCCAGATTTTGAGATATTTTTTGTGTTTAACATTGTTAAATTTAACGGCTAAATAGAAGGGTATTTGCAGGTAGTTTGGTTGATTTCTTCCATTATATGTTATTCCACGTCTGTTGAAAGTAAATACTACATGCGATGGAAGTGCTTGTTTAGGTGTCTGGAGCTTTTTGGCCATTGATTATTTTCTTTGAGAAACCTGTAAATAATTTGAATCATTTAAGTCAAGCATGTTCAGAAAGGAAGACCACATGGTTGTGCCACAGGTAGGTTCAGAGTTAGGAACTCCTTTGGCCCGGACCCTGTGTCAGATACTTGGAAGTGGACTGAGTGGTGGTACTTGGGGTTGCAAATCTTGTGTCCCTGGTATAATCCAAGCTTATTCTCTAAGAAATAAGGGCAATATTTACCACATATTGTGAAGTAATTTATAAATGCGGTTAGTAGCAGCATTTAGAAATTTAGGGGTAGGTACCTTTTTTTTTTTTCTGACTAATTACATAACTATTGTTACTCCTAATCTCTAAGACTGTTTCCAGTCCACAAGCTAGTGTTAATGTTGCACCACAAATGTCTGGTTTGACTTCAGAGTGTCCTTTTAGGATGTTTTGTCAGTGGTTTTGTGAACTAAAAATGTGTCGTGATATTCATGTAGGTGCTATTTTGAATGTGATATTTTAAGTTTTTGAGTTGTTTATTTTCTGTTAGATTCAGTGTTTGTTCTTAAATTTGTCTGGCAGTGTTAAAGTATTTCTTTGACTAGGTTGATTAGAAATGAGACTTGCTATCTGTGAATAAAATATTTTGTGGCATCAATCCTAGGCAGTTGATCCTAATAAGAAAATACATACGTCTGTGCTGTAGTTAATAGTTTCAATGCAAAAATGTGGTCTGCTCTGGTACTTGTATTTGTCTTTGATCAAAAATTAAGTTCATTATTTTGCTTTTAAATCTCCAAACTAAATTTTAGCCCTAGAGTTCCAAGCTGTTGCTTTTGGGTATGTTGTTTTCTGTCTTCTAAAACAATCTTGGGTCAAAGCTGAGCTATATTAAGCCCATGGGCGCTAAAGCCAGCTCTGTGTTTTTGTGACATTAAGTGAGGAGTAGCAATGTTGTGGGTTGCTATTGAGAAAATTGTTAACACAAAGCTGGAAGTTCTTGCTTATAACCTTTTCTGGCTAGGAAACTTGACCAATACAACATAACTGCTGTAATTCCCCATTTATACTCTTTAGGCAATGTATTGTAATGCTGTCTATTTGCAGAGGCCAGCGGCTGCTGTAGCGCATTCTTAGGGTTGGGATTTATAAATTTGCTTCAAGCACCCTTCAAGCCATAGTCATCGACCTCTAATGGCTATTGCCAAGGTTCGGTGTTGCTACTAGAGTTTCTTTCAGCGGTGGTTTGCAATGACTTGCAATAATTTACACCAGTCTTAGTGTGGGAGAACCTAAAAAAAAATGAATCTGATAAATAAATGAATGTTGGAATGACAGCTGAGCCCTACTGCTCAATGTCCAAAGTCAAAACTGCAGCTTAATATTCTTGCCAAGCACAGTCCTGTAGGCAATTATATGCAAAATGTGGAGCAGCTGAAGGAAAAGTTTGAAGTCACTGTGCTTGTGGGTATTAGCCATGTCAACAACACTAGCAAGGGTATGGAAAAATGCTTGAATTCTGGTTTTGGCAGGCAAAGAGTAATCACATTAAACTAGCATACTGTAGTATAAGAATGAAGAGTCTGTGTTATATTAACAGCTACGTGCTCTTAAATTTGTATGTATTTCATTTCAGTTTACTGCTGTCTTTGGTTTTCTTTGTGCACACAACTCCACCGTAGAACAAATTCACCTCTAGAATAAGGACTGGGAGTCAAGATGCAACTGAGAAACTGAGCCAGAAGAATTAGTGAAATTCTGCTTTGAAATCTGTTCTCTCAAATTTTCTTTCTTTCCTTTATTTATTTTTCCTCTCTCCAAAGAAGATGAATAGTGGTAAAAAAACAATAAAAAATACCCTCCTCATTCTCACCTATAAATCTATCCTTGTTCAAATAGCAGAAAATGGTGGTAGTAAAAGGGCAGAAAAAAAGGTGTGTGTGTGGGGAGGGCAGGGGCATGCTCATTATTACAAGTATAATTTTGAAAGGCTTGTAAATTAACTAATGCTTTCACATCAGAACAAGCTAAAGAGGCTTTGTCAATAAAACTCCAAATTTATGTTCAGATGTTATAGAAGCATGTCTGTATGGTAGCAGTGATGTTGCTGTTAATTTCCCTGCTTTGTCTGAGCATTAACTGTGTTTCTTTCTAATGACATTTGTTATGGTAGTTTCAGTTGCATTTTAATAAATACATTTCTTTAGATAAGTCAGGCTACTTAAGACTGGCAAGGGTAGCCAAATGAGTGGGAGGAATCGGTAGAGAAAATGGTAGGCAATCTAGTCCCTTTGATCTCATAGTCATAGAATTTCCATTACTTTGTTTTCCAGGTGGTTTGCAATATCATCATCATAACTGTGCTGTGTCTTTTGCTTGATGTCCTTCAAATCAGTTTTTAAGTGAAAATTATGTGTCTGTTATGGTACTTTTCTTTCTGTCATTCTCCTAGTGCTTAGTGAGAGACTGACTAAAAAAGCATCTTCATGAGTGCAAAAGGTGGAGTTTTTCTGCAGCCAGATAGATTTCTGTGGTCTTAACCAAGATCGAAGCTGGTAAAGAGCTCTCTGGGGTTGCCTTCTTGATTATGTAAAAACATGAAAATTTCAAAACAAAAAATCTATATTTTAGGGTGGAATCCTTTCATGGAAACCATAGGCATTGTGCATAATTACTCTTTTGTTTGTTTGTTTTTTTAAAGGCATAGTTCTATATGTCCTTAAGGGTAAATTGTGCATGTTTTGTGTCTTTCAGTACATTTAATCCCTGTCAACCCTATCAAGGAAGATGGGTTGAATCCTAAGAGCCGAAAAAGAATAATGCCTGACTTGCTAACTGAACCTCCTGCAATAGATCCTGTTTACGAAGCTCGTGTTTACTGCAATATTCCTACCATTGCTGAACGCAGCATGGAAGGTAAGCTTTCTGCGTGCAAATGATAATTTAGTGGAAATGATGACTTTGTGCATCAGCAGTTCTTCAGTGGTTGAAACAAATTACAGCAAATGCCAGCTGGTCAATGAATTATGCTAACACATTCAAAATGCACTGTCCTTTTTTTAATATCCCCTTTGATAACTTGATTTTTGGAAGTGGCTTCTGTTTCCAGTCAATGGTCAACTGAAATTCTAAAATTGGAAAATTGGAAGGGGTAGGAGTGATAGAGGTATTTAATGTTTGAACTAATAATGCTTATTACATGTGAGCTGCACTGCAAATTTTATTATTATTATCTGAAAAACAATTAACTTAAAATTCAAAAAAAAAAAAAAAAAGACAAAACCAACCAAAAATCCCAAACAAACAAAAAGAATGTATTCATGTTGGAACTCCAAACCATTAGACATAGTCACCTTGAAGGCACATTTGTGTTCTTTACTTTATGGTGGTTGCAGCACGAGTTCCCTCATGTGCATAGCCCAGTAACATAAAATCACAAACTAATATATCAAAAAGCTACAAATTAAGTGTGCTGCAAAATGCATCATTACAATTAAGGGTCTGGAAAGAGGCATCATAGAAGTGGAGTAGCCTTACTGTGTTGGCTGAGACCAGTGCTTGAATAATTTCTTGTATGGCTTTGGGACTTTGGATGTAGTATGGAGAATGTGCTGAGTACCTAAGTCTTGTATAATTTTTCCTGTGACAAGAACTCATCATCCCTTCTGGGGTTTTTTGTTCATTGTAACATTAATTATACCTACGTTTTTTCTTATATATATATATATATTATTATTTTTTTGTGCTTCAGGTCATGCACCTCATTATTTTAAACTAGTATCAGTTCAAGTGTTGATTCGACATGGAGATAGGTATCCACTATATGCCATTCCCAAGACAAAAAGACCAGATATTGACTGTACATTGCAGCCTAGCAGGTAAAATTTCTGGCTTATACCATTACTTAATGCATGGTTTGCTTGGTAATTATTTTGTTCATCTCCAAGAAACAATTTCTGCAGCTTAAAGCATGGTGTGGCTTCTGATGTTTGTGTATTGTGGTGGATGAAAGTTGGCACAGGGAGGGAAGTTGTGTGACTGGTGTACGGTACTTCCTCTGAAACAGGAACTGTTAATTATTACCAGGTCTGATCAGAATAAATTCCATAAATTTCTATTAAAAAGCCAAAGCTACTTAATTATGTAGGTTACCATTCTTCTTAGATAAGCTTCTAGACACTTCCAAAATGTTATTGCATTGTTTGAAAATATCTCTTCCATTTCAGCTATACATGTCTCCTTTTGTGTGAACACAAAAATGTCTGGGTCACTAGCACAGGAAAATTGATATTTGTGTTTTCTAATAAGTAAAAGAAAAAATAATATAAATATAGGTTTTCAGAGTTTCCTCTTAAATTAATGATTTGTCTCAAACTTTCCCCTAGGGAAGTGTGAAACAAAAATTTAATGATAAAAATGCAAGTTAAACAAAGTAAACTGCTTGCTACTTGAAAACTGCAGGTGTACTGTAGCTAACATTCTCACACTGTCACACATCTGATACTTGTTTGTCATTAAAATGTCACTTACCTTTCTGTTTCAGTGTATCATGCTTCTGTCCAACATCATGTCTTTGTAGTTTGCTGATGCTTGTCTTGATACCTGAATCAGTTTGAGCTGCTTCTAGAAGAACCTCTCTCTCTTGTTTAGAGCTTTTCATTGGTAAAAATGAAGCATAGTGCAGAGCAGTAGAAATCAACAGGACCAAGACTGGGAGCTTGAATCATCCTAGCTTGCTTGATTACATGTGTTTTTCTCTTTTTAAGTAGGATATGTGGTATTTTCATTATTTTTGTCCCAATAGAGGACTATCCAGTGAACCTACTGAATGTTTACAGTTGAAGGGAAAACATCAAGAAAAACTATCAGACATTAATAAAATCTCTTGGCAACTTTATACTGCTGCCCACTCAACAGCATCAGGTGTGCAGCTTTCTGTGACTGGGAGTTGCATCCAATTTGTGTACCTGCATGCACTGCTAAGGGAGAGAGCATAGTGGGCCTCCTGATCTACTGCTATACAAAGCAGTGCTGATATTACCATAAATACCTCTTTTTCCCAGAAAAGCATGGAATCTCTTTCTTTAAAGAGAGATGATGTTCTTGCTTTTCTTTTGTAGAATTATTCAGAAGTAGCTTTGCTCTGTCAAGCCGAAAATGTAATGGCACGCTGAAAGTGCTTTTCTGAGTATTAGATATATCAAATACGTACTTCTTGTCTTGATAAATTAATGGGCCATTTTCCTTAGAATTTCAGTAGCCTCCTATCATCGAGAGCGCTTGTGATTTTATCTTTAAAAAGGTAAAGATAAAAGAAATTGCCTTTGTGAATAGAGATCCTGAAATTTGCAAGGTTGCAGTGCTGTCTTCAGTTGTTGTCAGTGTTCTAATGTTATTCTGGCACATTTAATGGAGAAATAGCCATATTGCTGACCAAGCTACTGTTGTGGCTGGGGGGTGACCCTACAAAAGCTTGAAAGCTGAGCAGTTTTAACCCGTGTGTGTGCACATACACAGATGCAAAGTTTCAGTAGCACCTGAACTGTAATACTCCTTTCTCCATTCTGTTAGTGAAATTAAGCCTCTATTGAAGAGCTGTGCTTTTAAATAAAAAAATCTTACATGTTTTATGTTTGTTCTTATTCTTATACAATATTCCATAAATACACACTTCTGTATATAATATATACAAATAAATACTTCTTAAGACTAAAATGGCATGGAAAAGTAGACAGGAGAAATCTGCTTTTTATAGCAAACATGGCACTGGAATTGAGAAGATAAAAATAGCTTCTAATTTTGTTATTTTTAGTGTATATATGTACTCATATTAGCTACTGCTTAAAGCAAGTATCAAAGTCTTTAGAAAAGATAGTACTTTTCCAGTGCCTGTCATGAACACAAATATAAAGGTTTTTTTTACTGTTATTGAAAAAGTTTTACATGTATAAAGACCCAAGTCACTTGTAATGTAGTTCATTTTTTTTAAAGACCTTTCACCTACTTTTATGTTGACTCTTCTTCTTTATTCATACTTCAACTTCCACCAAATATTTGTTCTGTCAAGAATTGGCATTCTCAAACATCCTCCAAGAGAAGTTTGAATTGTTCTGAGAGGTGCCCAACCCCAGCAGTGCTCTGCACCCACCGCAAGCTCGCTGCCTGCCTGAGATGCAGCATGCCACACCAAGTTTGCAGACAGACATCTCAGCCATAGAGTCATGTGCCCAACTAATTTATTTAACAAGATGGAAAATGAACAATTTGTTAATAGCTGTGGTAACATTTTTAATGATCTGCCTCTGAGGGGTGAGATTATTTTCATAATAAAGCACAAAGTTAAGTGGTATGATCCAGGTTCCTTCTGGAGTTCTTAAAGGCTCTGATCCTCTGATCTTACTCGGTATCTGTCATGTTAGAATGTGTGTGAGAAATCTTTATTGCAGAGATGTGACAACGTTGGATGAGTTGCGGTGTTTCTCAGTATTACAGTGCCACATGAGACCTCGGTTTTGTTTTTGTTAGAAAACCTTTTATAGGTATTTCTGCAGTTTCAGGCAAGGAATACAACAGCGTGAAAGCCATGCAATCAGGACAACTATCCACAAAAGGGCAAGGCAGTAGTGTAGCTTCTGCCACTGCCAACAAGAGTGGCCAAGTAATGCAGTTAAGAGGGCACAGCCTCAGGATGTGTGGAGGCCAGCAGTATAGATGGCCCTGGCTGTTACTAATTTATGAAGCATGAGAAGATCAATGTACAAATCATATATCCACTGCCATGAGCCACCAGTAAAAATGAGTAGAGAACAAAAAGACTTTGTCTCCTTGAGAACAAAGTTTATGAATCTCCTGGCTGACTTTGAAAGGACAGCAGAAAGATTAAAGGAGTTGGCTCTGTACCATTGTTTCCTGATGGGTTAAAGCTGACCTTTCTGAATAAAGATACAATTGTTAAGGTTTCTATCATTATTTTGATGGAATATTTATTATTTTAACATCAGGAAACTATTTGCTGTGTTTGGCTGTTAGGCTTATATTCCTTTATGATGTAAATTTGGTGTTTGATTGTAAATGTATTTATATTGAGAGTATTACAAGGTATAGAATTGCTACCTTTGAACTGGAGGTTTCTTTATGCTCTATAATTACGTTGAGATGTCTGATTAAAAGTCTGGCTTGTTTAAGCTTTCTGTATGTTAGTTTCAGATAACAGACTGAATATGAGCAGCATACTTCTTCATTCGACTTGGCATTCAGCTGATGGAATTCATTAATTAAGCAGATTATGCTACAGCCCCATGGACTTTTGATGGATATGCAGAATAGCCTTGAGGTCACACTTGGATTTTGCGAATTATGGATTGTGACATACAAGTGTGGAATGAATATAAGCAAATGGATTAAATGCTTTGGAGATTCCTTCCACCTAAAACTTCAATTAATATTATTTCCATTGTTCTCGATGTAAATTTCCAAGGGGAACTGAATAATACATATATTCCCCCCACCCTCCAAGAAAAGTATTAGAGTGATGTTAGTGAAAATCTGTTTACTGTGGTGTTTGATTTTGAGGGAATAAATTAACCTCCCACTTCCCTTCCCTTTGTACCTTATGTGTTGAGTGTTAGAAATAACAGGTACACTATGTGTCTTCTCTCAGGTTTTTATCTGAGATAGAGAAGAAATGTTTTCTTGAAAATGCTAAAAACGATTTCAGAGGACTGCTATAACTTAATAGTATGCTGGGTTAATTGTCATGTGCTTCGAGTTTTAGTAACAAATATTTGAATTTCAGGTTCAATATGAACATGTCTTGAAACTGCCAAGAAATGAAAGAGGAAAGTATGAGAGAGGCGAGTAGTATATTGTGAGCTAAAGCAGGTGAGGATTTTACGTGGATTGAGGTCAAAGCATGAACCAGACGACAGTCAGGTGAAGAAAGATCTCAGGGCCTCTTCTGACTTCTCTAAAGACTCGGAAGAGGAGTGAAGTAGACCAGAACACTGGAGAGTTTGGTATAAAAATGTACAAGCTGCATGACTTCTATGAATAAACACCCCCCCCCCCAAATACTAACGCTGTCTTTAGGATCTCTTCTGCAGACTACTGTAATCCGTTGTTAGTTTTAGTGGCTCACTTACATTCTAAAAGAGAAACAGTATAGTCCTCTGACTAAGACTTATTTTGGCTACTTGACCTTCACAGAAGGCGCAGAAAACTTCACAGAAAGCTTTTGTTTGGAGTTACAAAAATATTTTTCTTTGCCTTTTAAGTGGAGGAGCAAATGGATTTGCTTTTGGTGCAGTTAGCAGACGCAATCTGGTGTGACACAACTACGGAGAGGTGATGTTCATTTGTCAGAAGCTGCGTCCCTTTACTTGCCCAGTGACGGACATGCTGAGGTTTCTGCAGCTCCTTGTCAGAAGATTGGTCCTCTTAGCTCTTGCAAATTCTATGTTTGCTTTAAAAAAAAGTGACGTTTGCATAGATAAATGAGATTTTCTTATGGGGAAAAAAATCTATCTCTAGTGTGATCATGTCCACGACCACAAGTTCTTTGCTGAGGCACGTAGATCTCCTGCACAGTTGCAGAGCGCAGTGCTGTCAGAGGACAGCACTGTGCAGTAACAGAGGTAAGAGGAATAAAAAGATTACCTCTCCTCAATTTTGATAAGCATCCATAATCTGCTAACTGGTCATTTTCTGTTGGATTAACTATTCCATTTTAGCTTTTAAATAAATGACTGTTTAGCAATTGGTCTCAATAATTAGTCTTCTATTGCAGTCTCTCTTTTAATCGTAACCTTGACCAATGTATTTTGTCTATCTGTAGCACCTGATATGGTAGTGAGGTTATATTATTTGTGCCACTCTTCAA